TTTTTCATAATCGTTATTGTTCGCTGTGTCGTTTTCGTACTTTGACACTATAAGAATTTCATTCTTAACGCCGCAAACGCATGAATTGTGATTCATAATAGCTGAAGACGTCAAATTCTCATCTTAAATCTTTTCAAAACGGTGATTAAATGAACCTACCGTCGTTGTCTTGGTGGTTTCGCCTCACGTAGAGATAAATTTAGCGCATCATGGTCAGGGATGGCCAATACCGAATAGTTCACTATTTCGAATACATTCGAAATTATTATTTTCGAATATGAAATTTCGAATACTTCGAAAATAAAATCCAGTAATAGAATCTAAGTGTATGAAGGAATTTTCATACAATAAACAATGGAATAACTTCTATCTACAACCTGGCTATATTACCAGGCATTTCATGTTTGCAGATTATTGCGATATATATTTTATATAACATGAGTTGTGTTAATTAACAGAATTAAAATAATACGACAAGGCATTTTAAATAGTGGTATCGGTGATGGATTTGAATGCTTGCGCAACACAAAATCATCCTAGTATAACGCCCATACTTTTAAATACCAACCATTATCCAAATTATTTGTCAAAAAGCGGGATAAAGTAGAGTTCTTTTTCAGACGTGTGACAATTTTTTCGTGAGTACAAAAATACGGATCAAAAAGTAAATATATTCGGGAACTTTACCACACATTTTAAGTCCGCAGATCGCCGTTGTATGTTTGTGTAATAATACTTTTATTATTTTATAAATACGAAAATAGGGTTCAAAAACTATTTATAATCGGGTAGTTTACCACACATTCAATGTCCACAGATCACCGTTGTATTTTGTAAATACGAAAATAGGAATCAAAAATTAATATCAATCGCGAGTTTGCCTCACAATTTATGTCCACAGAATGCCGTGATATTGTGCCCGAATATAATTAATTTTTGATTCTTATTTTCGTACTCGAAAAAATTGTCACAAGTCGGAAAAATAATTTATACTTTATTACACATTCAAGTCCACAAAACGCCGTTGTATTTTTGAGTTATAATAGTTTTAATATTTTGTAAATACGAATCCGAAATTAATTATAATTGGGCAGTTTACCACACATTTCATGCCCACAAATACCCGTGGTATTTGGTATTAATACTTTCATTATCGATACTTTTGACCATCATTATCAAAATTATTTCCCAGAAAGCGGGTGAAAGTATTTTTCTAATAAATCAACTTGTTTCCCAACTTGTGACAATTTATTGGATACCGTAACAATTACGGCTATAAATACCGTATTTCCCGGCTAATAAGTCTACATGGCAAATAGGACGATGTATATTTTTAGCACTCAAAAAAGGGGGTTTTCCATATAGGCCTCCAAGAAGACGGGTAGAAAAATTATTCCCTGTTGTTCAGTTATGCTAATATGCGCTAATAATAATGTTTAGAACCAGATCACGTTTGTTTAGTAGAATCATACTCACAGAATTAACTATTTTTAACAATAAAGCGGTAATTTTAAGTTAAAAATCACAATCATTTTGAACAATCTATAATTTTATAGGGTCAGAACAGAACCAGATCATGTTTGTTTGGTAGAACCATACTCACGGAATTAACTATTCTCAACAACGAAGCGGTAAATTTAAATTATAAAGCGGCAATCATTTTGGACAACCTATCAACCCGAATGTTGAAATAATTTTGGAATGTGATAAGTACCACACGGTACGTCCACGGGTTATTTCACAGCTGTGTTTCATGTCCCTGTCGTTTTCTGCTGAATCGGCAAAACCAAAAATCACTTACTTTATCTTGGTGGCGGTGGCCGTGTTTTATCTCGGTGGCGGTGGCCGTGTTTTCTCTTTTAAGTAACGATAACCGGCCTACGATTAAATATCATGATTGGCAGACCCATAAGAACCAAATATAAGGTTTAACACAAATTATGCTTGAGAAGACTAATACGAAAAATAAGCAGGCCACATAGAAATAAAATAAACTTGCTTTCTCAATAAGGCGCCCCTTCCCCCAAAAAATCAAGCCAAAATTGGGTCTAGAAAAGCGACTTATTAGCCGAGAAATAGGAAATACGGGGATTGTCGATTTTTCGACTAATAGAAATGATTTTGTGAATTAAAAGACGAATGTCGGCAATGTCCACCAACGCAAACGTGCAAATGTGTCGCAACACTATGCGACGTACATTCGCGCTGAATATAAACAATCAAAATGCCGACTCTATTTCATCGTCATTACAATACGTGAGAAAGCGTAGAAAGTCGTTTGAAGATTCCGGTAAAACGAAACACCGTGTTTACGGCGAAAAGTGACTACTATTCGTAATTATTCGGAAATGAGCCGAAAAGGTATTCGAATATCTTGATATTCGAATAATTTCGAATATTCGATTCGTTTTGGACAACCCTGATCATGGTGTCCTAGTGTGAGTATTCCATGTTACATTGTATCCAATTATGATTGTGACCCATATCGAAGAGAATTTGACTAATCTTTTTCATACATGGTATCATAGCCCACTGTGATAATATTTCCGGAACGAATAGGATTTCCATTCATTTTTAAAATTAAATCACCAACAGTAAGTCAGCAGGTGTTTCAAAGTTAAGAAATTGTCAATTCACTCTCGATATTGATTTGTCGTATAGCCAATTTAAAGGCTTGTTAATTTCGCCCGTCGTATCGATTTGACGCACACAATTCGTCCTTGGTGAATTAACTCATTCGTCGTCTAGGTTTCTGGGGTGCAGAATTAATTTCGTTGTTGATGTGTCGAGGTAATTTTGACGGTTTTAACTTCTGATAAACTTGTTTGCTCTTCTCTGCCGTTTTTTAATGTTTCGGCTGTGTTGCGGATAATATAAAGACTTTCTTTTGAAATATACAGTACTCAGGCGAATTATTTGTTTATGTCTACTTCTGAGAATATTCGGGGAACTGACTTGGGAGCAGTGGATGTGTTTATCATTGAATTGTTTTGGTTTTGATTGAACATAATAATATTTCCTTAAATTTAATTGTTGAAAGTTGGCTTCCAAAATATAGGATGCAATATGCGATGTTAATACTCTCTCAGTAAGTTAGGGACCTGATGATAGAGGGTAGTTCTACTGAAAAGTTACCACTATCTGGACCTCCTCTTATCTTGACAGTGCCAGTTTAGTTAGTCTCTTATTATTATACCAGGTATTTACAGTCATATTTACACATGTTTTTGCTCCGAACAAGGCTCCGGTTACCAACAAAATGTAGTCTACTTGAAAAGTTATTGTTATTGTTACATTCTCACGATTTGATTAGTGTCTAACATAAAGTATAATTAATTGTAATTAGCCCGACGCCCTTCTTATTCTTTCTCTTATTCTTTCTCGCATTTTCAATTACTATTAAAAACATGATCTGTGTAATCATGTGATGTTTTTGTTCCTTGTAATTTTTATTTCTATTCCAATACTTTCGGGGAATTGATTTCTGGGGCCTCTTAACCGGGCTTAAAACTCAAAAATTTATATTTCTTCTATTGTAATTATGATGCCTGCTTTAGAGTGTCCTGTCTTGGTAGAATCTTACCTTAGGGGTCGGTTGACCTTGGAAGTCTTGCCTGTCCCCTTCCCCATACATTTTTATGCTTATTGTTGTTTGCTCATGCTTATTGTATTATGTACTTGTATCGGAAATAAATCATTATCTATCTATCTGAAATATTTCCAAAAGTTGTGCATATTTACTCAGTTGAGCTACACCAATGTGATTCAATCATAAGTTCCGAAACTTGTAACTCTAAATAAAATATATATAGATATTTATTCAACTAAATTGTTAAGGGTATTGTTTTTATAAAGCTGAAAGCCATGATATCTTTAGTCCCAAAGTTATTAGGATGTTTACTAAATCAACTTGACTTAGAAGACAGGCACCCTGTCCTAATTGTAATAAATGAGGGTGAAACATGATTACATGAACTATTTATGGTTTACTGTCTGAGACTTATTACTGCTTCATAAATTTTAGCTGTTTATGGTACATATAAGGATGTTTAGTAACATTTATCAATTACTCATGCATGGCAGTGTATATGCATATAAATTCAAATAAAAACCCAAGGTTTCTCTGAGTAAATTGCCTATATGTATTAATCTATCTTTTGGGCGTAAAATGCATTATCGATTGTGGATTTTTGAATTGTAATTGGAGTCATTAGGACTATTTAAAAATAAAATGTCAGTGACTATCGGTATATTTAAAAACAGCCCAGATAATTTTCTTATTTACACTCCAGAATATTTAAATGTTAATATAATGAATTGGGTGGGCTATGTATCGTAATACCAGTAAAATCCGGTAAAATCCAGATCATTCCATAAATCTGCTTATATGTATTGTGAAAATTTTTTAAAAATATTCCACAGAACCATGAGTAGGTGCAATTGTTTCATTTAATCATATTTCTTTTTCAAACAATCATGTGCGAAAACATGAACAACCCTGTCGACCAAGCGCTCAAAATTTATTTATTCTATTATTTTAAAACCACCAAAGCAATATTATGTATATCATTACGCAATCAATGTTAATATATTATTGAATGGTATGCAGGCCAATTTCCTTCTCAGCTTCTTGCTATAGCAAAAAGTAATTACCATGTGGGATGATATAATATCATATTTGCGTGGATATAAGAACATATAATGAACCCTTTATGCCTTTAATATACCGGTACTTTTTAGTTTAGATACATCAGATTTGTCAGACCTAATATAGCTTTGTCAAAAATATAATATAAATAAATAAACAAGCTAATATAAAATGGTGTTTGTAATTTAACATTTGGCTTCTATTGGGCATCAAATGATTACCTGTGTATCAAAGGGTTAATTTTTTTTATCAGTCAGTCGCTTAAATCATCCAACCTTTAATAGAGATGCATCATTCTATATTGTTCCTTATTGCAGGCTTAAATGTGTATTGTATCTTCTTTGTAACACAGGTTCCCTTGTGGAAACGAGAGCTTTTGAAAAGAATCCATTCTAAGAATCAGAGAATGAATGAAGATCAGACTGATATTTTAGAAGAACACATACCTAAAGTAAGTTTATATTATATGTATGTAGTATATATATGGTTGAAAAATGAAAATAAAAATTATTTGATTGTAACCTAAAAAGAGTGAACGGTTCTGTTTAATATTACCAGTATTTGAAATACCGTACTTTGCTGATGTTTATCAATTTTCGTTCACTTGGAAAAGGCCAAGTATTTAATGTAGTTGGGAGTCGGAACTGGGAGATTCATTATGAACAATAAATCTTTGTGGGTTTCTAATAACAACATCATTCATGATTTGTCTCATTGGATGTAATACATTCTTAACAGATTACTGATAAGGCAATAAAGTTGTCATGTTGATTTACAACTTTCTTTTATTTCGGTAATTCAATCAAGTGAATTCTTTACAATCAAGGCTATATGTGAATTATACAGGGTGACCCTCGTAAAAAAACAAAATCTATAAATTTCTTAATTACTTCTGCGAAAATTTATTTAGCACTCGAACTTCTATTTGTGTATGATTACACCAAATAGTTTCGGTAATCTAGGACGCTTCGCACAAAAGTTATTTTCAAAATAAAGAACGGTAGGTCTCTTTTTATGGTCATCTTGTTTTTGAATCTGATGATTGTATAAAATACTTTGCAACATTGTCAAATCTGCTGATGCGACCATTTTTACAATAATTTACATTGAAGCATAGCTGTGATCGTGAATTTTTTTTTTTTTAGCTATGATTGTGATTTTTTTATAAAACTAGTGCTAATCCTTTATAACTTTATTTTGTCCAGGTCTCAGACAATATATTCTTAGTACACGAGAAGCAGCATCGACCGAAATATTCATCAACTCCTCCCAACAAATCTTTGTCTCCAGAAATAGCAACAACTAATCCAATCAACATAACTTCTGTTGACAATATAATTATTATTGAGAATGAGGATAAGGTATTGTTTTAATTTCATATTACCTGGTCTCCATGATATTTCAAATTCAGATAAATATATTCATGACTTGATAAACATTGTATGATTGAATAAAAAAGAATATAACTAATTTGATCAAATTTATATTGTCTACGATTTTTCAACTGTTACTGACAAAAGGTCTGTTTTTATTAAATCTATCACACATGATTAGGCAGAGATAATGCTGTAGTTGACCCAGATCATTTGTCATTTCGCTATTATGTAATGGTTAGCTACTGAACTAGATATCATTTATTCACTCTTGTTTATTAATATTTGGTGTAGATGGCATCAATTTTCTTGAATGAAATTATCCTAAAATTACAAACAATATTGAACAAAACAAAAAAAAACAGATTTACAATCTACAATAGATATCTTCAATCTTGCTATAGCCTCCTTGCATTATTTGCATACAGATCCACCGGCTCAAAACATAGAAGAAGGATAAGTAGTTAGTCCAACAGAAACCAAATCAGTAGCGCTACTTTAGATTTCTCATAATAAAACTGAATAAGCTCAGCAATTATTTTGTTTATATTTAAATGCAGCCCTACTTTTATTTTCTTGAAGTTACTCTAATGTTATTGTTGTAATTTTCAGTCTGTCAACAATGAAGTAACATCTAACAACAATTCTGAATCTGTTTTTGCAACGGACGAAACAAAGGAATATCCAAAAGTGGGAATCGTACATAAACTTTTGGGACGCTTTCAAACTGATAAATCTGACCAACAACAAAAGACTAAAACCTATCACATTCCAACTTATCAAAGATCAAAAAGTACTGAAGTTGTTAAATCACCAACAACATTGACACATATTGAACCTTACCCAACAGTGATTGTTGAAAAGAAAACACAAAATTTAGAATCACAGGACGCACAGGATACTGTAAAATCCACAATGCCAACAGATATGCTATCACCACTTCTTATATCCTCCGCCAAGCCATTTTCCAAGCAAGCTATGTCAAGTACTGATCACGGTTTTCATCATGTCAATGTCCCCATTCGTAAAGTAGCAGCGCCGACCAGTCCAAAGCATGTTGTATCGCCAACAAAAGCTGAACCAGCGGCTTCTAAACCAGATGTTTCAAATGAAATTGAAACAAAAAATAAAGACACCAGCTCATTCAATGACGATTTATCAAAGCTACACAGCGCTAGAGAGGATAACACAAATTTTGTACGAACCACTGTCAAAACAGAACCACAGCATGCTCCATACAGTGTCACTTCTGTAAAAAAACACACAGATTTGAAAAATGGTGAAACTCTACATTCTAGTGGAAGTACTGTAGAGCAGACTAGTAATGCAAAGGAAATTCAGAAACCAAAACTGCAAGATAAAAGCAACTTTACATCATATCGTCAAAGTGCCAAAACGCAGGCAAATGAAGCTCATAAGCCAGAGAATATGCAAACAATCCCGAAATATGAGCCTCCTAAAAAAGAGATTATTATAAAGCCATCTGTAGAAAGCCAAAAACCAAAAGTTCAAATTAAGCCCTCAACAATGAAAGAAAATAATAGCTCTGTACAAAGTCATCCACCGTATGTAAAAAAGTATGGCAAAGGGGAAAATGAATTCATGAAAATTGTACACGAATCTCTCGATGAATCAACATTGAAAAGTAAATTGGCAATTAAAGCTAATAAACTCATGATGACTTCAAAAACTTTAAAAATTACCCCGTCAAGGGCTAGAAAACAGTTTCCTCAAAATGAACCAGAATTAGCTACGGCCACACCCACCAGAACTATGACAAAAGTTTCAACAGCATCAGAAAAAAATCATAAACCAATCCCTGCAAAAAGATTGAGCGTTGAAAAGGAAATTCATATTATGGAAAATAAAGAGTCAACACCAGAACCTACAAAGTCTTGGGTAACAAATAAACCCAGGGATGAATTGCCATCACAAGAACCTGTGAAGTCTCACACGAAAGCCCCACCCTTACAAGAACCCGTCAAACCTTGGGTGAAAAGTCCCACCCAATACGATCTACCATCACCAGAACCAGTTAATAAGTCATGGGTTAAGGATTCACCCAAAAAGGATTTGCCATCACAAGAACCTGTTGGGGGTTATGTGAAGGCCCCACCTGAAGGTGATCTGCCTTCAACATCAATTGACGATATTCTTAACGAAACGAATCTCGTTATCACACCTGTGGCATCATTACCAATTTCACCAACCGAACCAAAGAAGGATATTGTAATTTTTAAGGAAGAGAAGAAAAAATCAATCGTTACCATTCCATCACCATCTAATTCGAATGATATTCATAAACCTTCGACTATGTTTACAAACAGGACTAATGCCAATACAATATCCGTTATCCCTAAAACAGAATCTGTGCAAAAGCCAGCGTCATTTGGTTCTAGATTTCCTTCGTCAACATCGGGATCAAGTCGTGGAAAAAGTTTCACAATTGATCCAAGCAAATTTCGTAAATCTGCTGCTGCACCTGTTCCACCACCAACCAATATTGTAAAGGTGTGTATGGCATGGTTTTATAATATTTGACACTGCAGAACAAAAATTTGATGGGCGCACGGTACAAAATTATAAGTTTGTCAGCAAGTCTTTTCATACATATTTCCCAGGCGGTATGATTGTTCTGATAATGTAACTTACAGAAAGTGATTATGAATTGAAAAAATGTTATTCAATTTTGAAAAAAGCATTAATTTGGTGAAAATTTTAACATATTTCTCATTTCTGTAAAAATCATGTACTATTAATACAACTTAAAATTACAGCAATAAGTTTTAAAAAAAAATATTTTTTCAATACTTTCTAGTAATCTTCCTCAATGCCTCACTTCAGTTTTAGATCCTGTTATTTCTAAAAAATTTAATGTACATGTAGTCAACAATACACCCTCATATCTATCACTTTATTCAATTTTCTAAACAGAATTACTTCGATCCCGAAACTAGTCCTTAGCATAAGATTTACCTTTTAATAAAATGTTGTTCAATCCCTTTTCACCCAAATTTCCATTATAGTTGTACCTTAAGCTGTAGCTGTCTTGTTGATGAACTGCAAACACATATGTTATGTACAATAGTACTTAAAGTATGTGGCACGTGGTGCCAACCACTGATAACATGATATCAAACAAATGGGGTTAACCATAAATTAGTTAATTATTTAGCAAAAGAGCATATAGATTTTGTATCGGACAGCAGTATACTAGTTATACATTGGTTGTGATAGGTAGTGCTGTGATCAGAAACCAGAATGTCCGTCAACAATATGTGTTTTGCTGTTGTGAGTCTGTTGGAAAAGTAATTTTGCACTGGGTTATTATCAGTAGCTAACTAGTAACCCACAATTGCGAGTCTCGTAGAAAAAATTCATCAAATATTCATGGTTTGAATTGTGAATATACGTCTCTTAGTCAAATTTTCACTTGTGGAGTTAGTTATGTTGATTGTTGATTATATTTTAGGGCTACCACTACCAGGATAGACAGGCATTTTGTGAGGATAACTTGGCTTTTTAGATGTGAAGACAATTTAACAAGCTTTAATCATATCACAGTGAATGAGAGAATATTTGTATATAAATGAGAAGTTATATAGCCTGTTGTTTTATAAAATATATTGTAATTTTATATTAATTGTGGACTGGATAAATTTTACATCAAAGCAAATCATTCTCAAATTAGGCAACTTTTTTTTTAGTTACCACTCTAATATGTACAATGTATATAATAAATGTTATTCTATACCTGGCATGGGCAAACTACAGCCAAATCCAGCCTGTTGGGTAATTTAATCTGGCATGTCTGATGCTGCCACAATCAAACTAAAACCAAATTTTGCTGATTTAGTTAAAAAAGAGCTCAAGGAATTTGTTGAGATTGCTATTAAATTCAGTTTTGGCGCGAGGCTCATTGTTTTCTACTTTTGCTTTTGTAACACTGTAAATATTGTTCATAAAATGTAACGTTTCATGTCACACTTGCATGGCCCGCCAGTCTGGATGGGCAAAATTTTTGGCACCTGATTACATAACGTGTTTAAAATTTGTCTTCTTACTTTATTTCACACAGGGATCTGGCAACACTCGTATGATAGTTCCTGGAAATAAGCCTAACGTTGCAGAAACTGATTCCATTGAATCAGCAAAATCTGGAAAAAGGAAACTCACAGTGGATCAAATCACAGTTATCGGTGGGTACATCTCTCTTGAGAGATCATGCCTCATCAAGAATACAAAGAGAAAAAAATCGGTAAGATTAATTAATCTGGGCATTATTACCTTCTACCAAAATGAAAGTAGGCTATATAAAATTTCACTACTATCAAGACAAAATTTGCTGTTTGCCAACTTTTACGTCGGGCGGAAAATGTTTACTCGTACATCTTATTATATGTATTATATAATTTATATATACATTCATATTTGTTCTTTTTTGCAAATATTGACAATCAGAAAATTAAACTCTTCCTTTTTCAACTCCAACTGCCAAAATCTCTGGTTCTGTGGTTGGTGCATCGTGCTAAGCTTTTACCATTGCACTCCTGTCGTAGGGTGGCTTAGATAGCCACTGGCTGGTTATGGGACGCAGCCAGGATTTTGTGAGCGTGGAGTTTCAAAAATCGGAATGGGAAATTTCTGAAACAGACATTGCGATTACGCCACCTGTTAAAATAGCTGACTTTTTCAGAGGATAACCAGTTTTCTGTCATGTAGAGGGAGGGTGCCATATGAGTAAATCGTATTATCGACTTTCATCTACCCTATGATAAATATGAAAATCCTATCTTATCCTCATGGTCAAGACTCAAGAATAATACAATCCTACAGATGGGTTTTTAAGCAGACGTATGTAAATTATTCTATCTGAGCCAAAAAAAACAATGGTGTATTTGTTGATACTTCTGGTCTGAAAAGAAGTTTGTCCATGATATATGTCCATGATGTAATCGGTAAAAAATAAAAATAAGCATTGGCTCATAGTCAATTTCTGAAACAATCATACAATGATTCCATGCAGCCACCATGGCTTTATGAACAGCTTTCAGATGGGTTTTTAAGCAGGCGTTCGTAAATTATTCTATATGAGCCAAAAAAAACAATGGTGTATTTGTTGATACTTCTGGTCTGAAAAGAAGTTTGTCCATGATATACGTCCATGATGTAATCGGTAAAAAATAAAAATAAGCATTGGCTCATAGTCAATTTCTAAAACAATCATACAATGATTCCATGCAGCCACCATGGCTTTATGAACCATTCGATGTTAAATAAAAGAAACCATTCAACAAATTTAAAAAAATGAGAGATGAAAGGTCAGAAACAAAATAAAAGACAGTGTTCTAAGCACTGTGTAATCCACATGATATGCGAAGAATTTGATGAAATTTGTTAAGCGAGTAGATTAATAATTTACCAAGGTTTGTTTATCTGTTCTTGTCCATAAGTCACACGTATTTCTGTTCAATTATAAGTTGTATTACTAAGAAATTCATTACGTGATTGAAGGGCACCATTGGGTCGTTCGTGTGTAATATTTGCATTGCTGTAGTTTGGACTTTTTCCCTAGCATAAATTTCCTTGATTATGCCTCTCATATTGACCATGTCGTAAGCGCATCTCGCAAAAAGGGGACTCAAAATAAGCATCCGAACTTTTACAATGGTAAAGTTTAGGACGTTTATTTGGGGGTGATTGGTTGGGGAAATGTCCACCATGTTATGTGTTGAATATCTTGACTGCTCATGTATAAAGTCTGGCAACTATAAAAGTTACTTTTCATATGCTTCCATGGAAGGATAGCTGTGGTCGACTGCCAATTTTGTTAGTCCGTTTTGGCCCATACTTTTTTTCCGTGTATGCTTGATTTATTCTGTTTCAATACCTTTTTATATTTCCAGGTTTCATCAATATCTTTTTGTGAAGATAAAGACCTTGAGAAAACATTTACTTATGCATCAGAAAGATCATTGTTGGCTCTTGAAACAAAAGCAACAGTGAATACTGTTACGAAATCACCAGGATTTGGAAGTAAGAAATCTGAATATATATGAATGGAACATAAGTTCACATTGCCCAGTGGGCATGTGTTGGTTTCTTTAAATCAAATTGATTTGTTGTTGATAGGGTTCTGTAATACAGTCTATATTGATATGTAAAAATGCCGAGATATGGTTCCTATCAATATTTTAATCAGGGGTGAGATTGGAGAAAAAATGATTAGCACTCCATTCTACGTTTTATCAAGTTCCATTCCATATTTTTGTTCAGTTTAAATGACATTGTGTTAAGATATAGCTTATAACGACATATAACACAAGAGTTTCATACAATTCCTGATTCAACTGAAATTTCGGAATGATTGTAATTGCATTTGAATTAAATGTAATATACCGACTATTTTGGACGCTCTCCATATGTTAGTCTAATCTTAGATGGGTTTTAATAAGTAATTGTCTCTTTCCTATATTTTTTCTCTCTCTCTCTCTCCATTTCTTCACTCTTCTTCTATCCAACTCTTACATCGATAGAACTTGTACCTGTGTATCGAAGACGACAAGGCGAGTGTGCATTATGTTTTATTTCTCATAGTAATTGTGTTTTATTTTCCTTTTGTCATCATTTGTTTGGTCAATTTAGCCACACGGAATCTTCGCATAAGATGTTTGTTCTCTGTTATAAACTGTTACCTTCTTCCTGATTCTATCATTAAATAATACAGCTTTTCCAACTTTGAATGCTTCTTTTTGATAATAGTATGTTTGGGTATGTAAATATACTCCCAATGATATTCAAGAATATGTGTTTGCTGGTTTAAATGGCGTACTGTGGCATGTTAAAATTGTACTACTAAAATTGTAAATATAACTACTCTGAAATTTAAATCCTGTAATAAATTTGTTCAAATATTTGTATCTACAGAAGATAGCACCATAGGAAAATACACACCAAAATATCTTTTGTCAATGAAATCTGAGGAACTTGATGATGAAGATACAAGTGATTCGAAATCAGTGTCAACAACATCTTCAGAAAAAGAAATATCGACTTCTAATGATGCCACACCAGATGATAATGCTGCAACATGGGACGACGTGACCAATTCAAGTTCAACAACAGACATCCTATTTTAAGTTTGAAGTTTTTTCTTCTCTGTGCACTTACTCGGTTATATTTGTTGCATCATAATTTGTTTTCAGGTATCCATTCACAACAATAATATAACGAGAATATCGGTTGGAAACCGAAGACTTATCGATCGATAGTTAGGGGATCCCCCAAAACAGAAACTGCAGTTTCGATTCATCCGCTCTTTTAACTTGCGCACTGCGCATCGCACACACACACTCGGCGGGTTTCAAAATTCTCTCGCTTTACAAAAATCTAGATCACTATATCAATAATTGATTGATAACTCGCTAATTATACGACACAATTTGCCCAAAATCAATAGGCTACTGGTCCGAGATAAGATGAATGCACATGCAAAATCTGGAGCAGATTCAATCTCGCTTTCGTGAGATATCGCGTGCATCTAACAGACACACACACAGACACACAGACAGACAAATACCTATCAATATACTTACCGATCTTAAGATCGATAAGTAATTACTGCCTACCCAGGGCAAGATACAATGATAAGCTACAATATAAAAAGCCATTTAAAATATCATACTCAAGCTTCATACTTTAATTTTTTGTGTTATTTGCATCTATTTGCCATGTCTTATGCTCTTGGCATGTGTTAGCGTTGAAAGTTTTAATTTAAATGAATTTATATTGTGTTGCACTATTAGTATTAGAAAAATACTTACTTCACTATTCAAGGCAGGACATTTTATTATCAGTATAACTTATACCAATCAATTTAAACATGATCTGACCGAATCATCGATACTTATATTTAACTGGAAGCCCACTTGTTTTCGTGTTACACAATACACTGAATCAGGGATGTCCAAAGCGAATCGAATACATTCCAATTTAATTATATTCGATTCAAAAAAATGGAGTTTAGGAATAATTTAGAATATTTTTATTTGAAAATTAGAAAATTTCGAGCCACCAGAAAAGCAGATATATATTTCCACATGAACTTGCCCGTAATTTAGAATGTATTCGATATTCTATATTCAAAAATATTTTTTTCAGAATGAATTGATATAGTGAAATATTTGGTTTTGGCCATCCCTGCGAGCGAACAATATCGGTGTCCGCTTAATATTCTTGCCTTGGCTAAACTGTATACATTTCTTTCAATTTTGAGCGAGTGTTCCTTGTTTCATATTTTTAACTTTAATTATTATGTTAATTATGTTTTATTCTAATTATATTACAAATTCTAGATAAGAGACATTTTTTTATGTGGTGTGCAATTTTTTTAAAACCTTGCGACATAGGTCAATACGGTTTGAAAAATATATTTTGTTCAAGACATTTGCGGCAGATTGTATTCCATACAATTTGAGCTAATTTTTATGCTTCTTTCTTCATTATGTTAATACAGTGGTTTTCAACAACTTTGGTAGAGCAGGACCCCTGTGTAATAGTTTAAATTTGTTTCATTGTTTAAATTGTATAAATTATAAATATACATAAAAGCTTAATAATGGAATAAAATGATCTTTATAGTGTAACAAGTTTAATGAAAGTGTCAAACCAAATAGGTATTTGATTACATTTAAACAGTATACAAATATTGGTATTCCCGTAGTATGTGTACCAGGTTAGGGTTAGGCCATAATTTCAGGTACAAATACTATGGGAGTCACTTGGCTAGTCCCCGAACTCGTAAAAGAACTAAAAATAAGGAAAATTGGAATAAAATTATGGCCTAACCCTAACCTGGTACACACTCTATGTTCAGGTGCCTGCCATCTTGGTTCACATACTGCAGGAGCACCCAAATAATAATATATGGACTCTTAGATTGGAATGGAAACTTGCCGAACCCCTGGACTGTACTGGCGGAATCCTAGGGTTCTGCGGAACACCAGTTGAAAACCACTTTATTAACATATTATTCTCCTTCTAAAGTGTATGATTTTCTAACGGATGTGAACACTGGTTGTATTTATCCAGTTATGAGTATCATTACTAATGGTAGGAACTTATCTGCTAATAAGTAATTATTTTCCAACATTATTCAATTTTCATATCAGTCCTAGTTATACCATCCCTAACCGACTTTTCTTATAACTCTGTATTAAATTTACTCAAGATTCCTATTTCTGAAATTTTATTAATTTATGATTAATTATTAAAAAATTAAGTAACAAATTTCTTCATGTAGCAAAGGCAAATTTTTGCTATTTATACCCTTCATATTACAGTATTTACTATCTTACATTATTCATCCACTATCTGAAAAATCATCATAGGATGCGATAAAGTGGGGTCATCAATCCCGACTACGTGGCCAAGGTATCATAATTTTTTTACACATCCAAGTTCAACGTGAAAATCAAATTTTTTAAGGACAGATCAAATATTTAATATAATTAACATGCCATCTCGAAATCCTCTTAAGAGCAATCAATTCTAAAATGTAATTTTTACATCAAGATTCTGGTGATGCTGACATTATTTTTTTTTTCGCATGAGCTGTGCAACTTAACCTGTTTTCGTCTGTTTCAAAAGATTTTTTGATTTGGCTTCATTCATTAGGAGCTGCCATTTGCTTGGAGTTTTAGTTTCATAGTTCATTACTATAGTTTGCGCATTTTCTTTTTCGCTTTGTTGAACAGCATTTTCCATCCTAAAGAGTTTTATATTCAGTTTATTGTGCTGTAAGGGTTTTACCTTGATTTTTATTTAATTTTCCCATTTATATCAGTGATCTGACCACTCAGAGCTGTTTAGTCATAACTTTCTATTTGCGTTGTCATGGAGTGTGGGAAATCAAGAAAGTTTTCAACTAGAAAATTACCATTTCTTATCCTTGGAATAAATGCTGGATAGTCGTGCACGGTTTGTCTATACATGGTAAATTAAAATTTCTTATCTTGGTATCGTCTCATTATCAAAATAGTGCTGTTATCTAAGAATCAGCTTATGTATGCAAGAAATAAATTATGAAAATATATTCCAGTCTGCATTTTTTTTAGTAAGCGTAACTGGTGCTCGATTCGGTCGCTGGTACCACAATCTTTTCATTGTGCTCGACGGCTGGCATATCGTGCTATCGCCTTTTTATCTCCGGGTTTAGGATTTACCTATTGATCCCGGGGAAGAGGAAAGTGGGCTTAATCATATGCCGAACCAACGTCTCTTGTCCGGTTACCAGTCCATGCCGTTATGGTTATAGTTAGTCAGTTGTTTTTTTAGATGCGTGGTGGAGGAAGTCCTAACCGACCAGCGGTAACGTGAACCACCCTACGGGAGTTAAACAATCCTCTCGCACATAATTACCACCACGGGATTCAAACTTACAAATCCACACAGGGTAATCAGAGATGTGGTGGCAAGCGTATTCCTAACGCTTAGCACGACAGATGACACAGCCGAGCCGATCTGGTGACCGTACATTAGAACCCATGTGTATATCCTCTGGTTCAATCTATATGCGGGTGCTAAAACCCATGGGTTAGGGTTAGTATGGGTTCGAATATCCGTAAAATAAAAAAAATTCCATAGGTGCAATTGTCGTGGGTGTACGTGGTTCAAATGTACACGGGTTCAAATGTAATGGAACCAGCCGATCCTAAATGAGAAGAAGCGTTAAACGATCTCATCATCCACGAGGCAGTTCAGGCAAGACGCTGATCGACCGAATTTATAGTAACCGATCTGAACTGCGAGAAGACCCGATCCCTGGTATTCGTAAGCATGATTACCGTTTTGATTAGGCACTTCAAGAGCTGTATATGCCTCCAGTCTAAACGTGAATCGAAATACCAAAGGATACCAGTCACAATTGTAGTTTGCAACTTTCCCGGTATCTAGTAGTCCACCTCGGGATGGTTCAAGATTGCTAGGTTGAAGGACCGCAAAAACTTTTGAGGAGGTCTCGCGGGCCGCAAGTCGGAGAAAACCCAAAAGTGATCGAAATATCGCGAGTTTACTTACTTTAAATTTAATAAACAACGAGAGTTTACCGTTCTAATCAGACTATTATTATGTTGCCTGGTTGAAAGAAGATATATAGGCCCTATATATATATATATATATATAAAGCCTTCAGTTATTCTAAAATTTATTCCCGAGAATTATCGCTGTATTTTCCCCATCTCGCGTTTAATGTCGCTTCAAATTATATTCTTGACAGATATTACTTGAAATCAGACCAGACACTGTGATGCGCAAGGAAATACACTTCCGCCGTGTTTTCCTTATGTCACCTTGTGACACTCATTTTATTACGAATTGTTATATTTGAGTAATTTAAAAACCAGCAGCATGAGCAAGTTTGGTGCCATCGTCAAATAACAACCAAGTCCGTCTAAGTTGGTATTTCGGGACCTAGCTAAAAAAAAATGGATTGCGCGGCGTTGAGTCGGCTCTGCGTTTTGTCACACTTTGGAATAGACATGGTGAGAACGCTGAAGAAGAAAAGATGAGAACTGAAATGAAAGAGACATTTGTGATAGGTGTTCAAAAGGGCGTGGGCGGCATTGGAAGGAGATGTAATAGATTAATATACCTTTGAGAGTGTTAAAAGTGAGAGTTTAAGGAAAAATGTAATAGTAGGTAACGGCAAAAGCGTATTTCTAACATATTTTAAAGAATTTGCTACAATCGGCGAAAATTTGAACCAATCAAATCGCCGCATCTACCAAATCTAAACATGATATATAGTAATTTTCCAGAATATTATAGGGCACAGACGGCGTATATGGCATTAATAATAAATAATGGTTTTGTTATGCGTTACTCCGATTAATATTAAATGCACCACAATTTGTAACAAATGTGCAAATAGTTCCAACCTCTAATTAATCGTTTCATCATTTTGTCTTCACATGAATTGTTTCCCCAAGTGCGGCTGAATACTTGAACACAATACAATTTTAACAAAGGGGTGCTCCACCTACATTTTGCTGCCAAGTTAAATTGATCGCGTTACCGAAATAGCTCTTCTCTTCTGGCCAAAATAGCCCTTCATGGCGTCGCAAAAATTGCTCACAACAGGGCAAACTGCATTAGTAAGCGCAATTCGGATAACACTCAGTTCGTATTTGTTGAGTAAATTATATGAAACACATATGATGTCAGAGTAGTGTTATTGTTAGCGTAGAAAATGGATTGGTATTTCCAATATGCATTTTATATATATATGCATGCAGGTACAGAGAAGTGGCCATTTTCACAAAGTGAAAAAATCATTGACACTTAGCTGTTTCAAATATAAATATTAAAGTTGCCTGTATGTAAAAGTATTATAAACATTATTGAGTTATTAGAAAGTTGGAAAATGAGGTATTGACTCCGAATCGGTACTTTTACACAAACAAATGTCTATATCTCGAGACAATTGCAACGATAGAATATTATAATTTGTTTCTATTTTTACGTTCAAGCTCGGGTGTATCATGTTACTCTTTTCGTACAAAGCTCAAATTGATTTCAAATCCATATTTAGAAGTAACGCATTTAGTTATCCAAGTAACTACGCAATGTCGCCTTGTAACATTCATGTCTAACTAATGACGTATCTTGCGTGTAAACACATTAGTTATCTGGAAACATTCACAAAAGCGTCAATTCATTCACTAACAAGACAGATGATGTATCATCTTTAAGGTAATCAAATATTGCAGAGCTGGGTTGATAGAGTCCGTGTGTTGGGTATACACGGATACAAACATCAGGTCATTAGAACCGTTATCAAGCATGTCTAAAGGATAACTACAGTTTGTAACTTTAAAATGTTGAAAAAGTTTGCACGGGTCAGACTGAATAAACTGGAATGACTGATTGCGTCTCGTAATATATACAGAGTGCTGAAGAGAAATTGCTGTGCTTAGATAAGATGGATTGGTTCAAGTGCACGCGTACCATTCGGTATAACATGACGTGCATTTGAGTTGAGAGCGATAGCCAACGTCATTTCGTGATCGCTTTACGTGCTGAAATGAAATTAAGGCCCGTGAGGTACAACGAAAACTTCAAGAAAAGAAAAAGATTTCTGGTAGTTACAGGCACAAAAAGTTTGGTTATTGATCTTATGATATGTGTTGTTCTCTTTGCACAGGCCAGCTGTTAGGGCATTGTGACGTCATAGGCGTGGATAATAAATTGGACTCAGGTATAGGCTTTGCAACGCGAAGATATTTGAATTACTCGCACGACTGAAATAAAAACTCGTTTCGCGGGCCGCACACCATTCAAAATTTGCACTTCTCCGCGGGCCGCACTATTTTTCCTTGTCGGTCGCATTTTCCCCGCGGTCCGCAGGTTGCACATCCCTGCCATAGAAGTTATTATTTGTTGGGATTCAGGACGGTATACTGTAGCGTTAACGAACTACTTTCAACGTTCAGTTCGGGATGGATACTTCAAAGTTCAAGTATATGTATATATTTGAATGCTTATTTACTAATTAATTTTTTGATACGTACCAGAAGTATCAATATGCCGTATTCTCAGGCTGTAATTCGCCTAACTTGAAAACGAGTATACAGTACATATTAAAACTTTTACTTATAAAAATTGTATCCGCTACTTTTCAGACGATATTTCCTAGTAATAATTTTTTAAGTGCCACAGGAAAGATTGACAATGAATCGTATGTACGGATAGAAATTATTTCTTGTCTACCACACGTGTAAACAACGCAAAATATTCGTTCTCAGTATCATGTTTATACTTCTCATTGACCAGCAATCAGAATGGTCATTTATTTCACTCATGAAAAATTTAATTTCGTACGCTGGGAATGTTTACATAATTTGGTCACTTAGTCGTCGAATATCGAATTTGAAATGAAAACTGACTATGTTTTAACAACTCACATTAATAAGCTGCTGTAGCCTTATGAAGAGATTATAGCATCCATGACAACATAGCGCAAAAACAAATACACTTAGGATGGGATAGATGTTAATATTTTACATTTTATTTCGCAAGGGAGAGGGACTTTGACGCACCCTTTTTCCGCAATCGAGATATCAATCAGAGAACAAATCAAACTTGACAATTTGATTTTTTGCTCATACTTGGTAGACTTTTATTTGAAACTCCACAGTCAATAAAAAAGTACTTTGCAATATTTATCTTCCAATCTTATGTCTTCACCAGTCGCGTTAAAAATATTAAATCGGCACGCAATGAGGAGTATTATGTAAGTGTTGAAATAAGATATTTCATTTTAATACGAATGCAGTATGTATCTATTGTATTTATTTAAACTGTTTTGATAGCGTCAAAAGTTGCCCTGAAAAGCCGACCAACAAAGGAATGTCCGCTTAAAAACTAAAATCGGACAACGGCGGAGTCAAGGCCGCGTTGTATTATTATACTATCCGCTGTAAAAATAGTAATCACGAATTGAAACTATTCTTTGTACTCTATTTATATAAGACTTATCCGCGATAAGTAATAGAGCATTCAGGTTGAGATATCAGTCTCACGATGTTATACGCTCTGTCGTGACTGATGGACATGATACCATTTGGATGGATAAGTTGATCCGGGGAAGTTATCCCAAGATATCAATCGAATCGGGTTCACAATAATTTGATCTCAGAACTTTGGCGTCGCTATTCTGCTGTGGAAGTGTGTTGTATTAGCTGGCAATAGTTACTGAAATAAGAAGATTATTCAAAGTGAGTGTGTCATCAATTTTAGATGAATACTTTTTTTTTAAAGAGGTATAATTTTTGACGCGTCTCCCGCTGTTGTTTCGAAAATCTAGCGGATGTTTGAAAGTACGTAGATAGTAGGTTTGAAAATGTCACCTAATTCCTAATATATATTTTGCAGTTATATCTTACCAAAATGGCTGCTGTCATTAATGTAGAACAAAGAAAACTTACCAGATCGTCAAAACTCGAGCAAACTATTTTATCAAATCGAGGAATGAATATTCACCTAAAAAGATGTTTGAACGTGATTGAAGTCGACAGGAAACGAATGTTAAAATTTGTTGCAAGAAGGCAGAGAGAATTACAAGCCGATCTTAAAGCAAAGAAAGATGAGAAATTCAATGTGATGTTAAGATATCAAATGCAAAAAACGCAAAATGAAGGTAAGACTAATTGAATTGAAATTCGATTAACCATTGCTTTAGCTTGAAAAAATATATGAATAAATCTTCCAACGGCGCAAATTTATCGGCTTTACAGAAGTCGCGTCAGTCTATTTTTATCGGCGTCTCTGTCAAGTAGAAACGTGTATTCAAATCTATGTACGCCGATGATATCTATCTATCTATTCTATCGGCAGATTTTGGAATTTTTGCGCTTTAGAGCCTGATTTAGTCTATATAATAATTAAATAGAAGCGGTTGTATAACCCACCATCTTCCGTAACCCTTATTAAATAGCGCACCCAAAATTAGATGAACAAAAATACCGATTATATGGCTTCTGATATATCTGGAATTGACGATTTTACGGTTACGTTTCTAATGGCATGGTCGGGTAATAATTGTGCGCAATATAATAGTATTGCTTTGAACTGGACGGAAAAAATGTGGGAGTTGTTTCCATATTTATCTATAGATAACTTTTGTGGTTATGACTGAATAAAATCAAATACAAACACGCGTCTTGCGGACTCCGAAAGAATTGTATGTGGGATTAACTAAATCGGTGGTGTATTGAGCTCGAGTCATAGATATCCACACGTAAATAAGGACAGAATCGGGTGAAGTATTGTCTAACTAAACTCTAAACAAACACCGCCAACAGATATTCGAATGCGCACAACAATGTTACTATTTAAAATCGCTAAAACCTATAAATGTTATAAATATATATACACAAAGCGGAAAGCTAAAATACAAATTTATTTCCAATACGGAAAGATTTTAGCAAAACAATATATGTCATCCGTATTTTTACGTATTAATTCCCTAGCAAAATCGGACTGTCATGGAGCCAAAGGAATTTTGGGACAATTACTCAGTTAACTAGAAAATAGTTTAAAAAAATTTGCGCCGGGTTTAATTTTAAGAAAAATAAACATAAAGTTATCCAACTTATTGATCAATTGCAATTAAAAACGTTTCTCATCCCAGATTAGAGATCTCGGTTACAAACTGAATTAGACAAATACCCTATGTGTAAGAAAGTCGCGTATCAGCGTTCATTTGTTCACAGCCATATTCAAGGCTAAATATGTTGCATCTGATGAAAAATGCTGAATTTTCAACATTTATTTTAATATGTACACGCCCCTTTCACACCCATAACACAAAATCATGCAAAACCGGAAAGAATTATCTTTCATATAAAATCTGGAGTGGGGTTAACCGGATCAAATTCAAGTATCATTGTGATATTTTTGTCTGCGAATGTTCTGTCACTTTAGATACCCACTTACGCTGCTGAACGTACTATACAACAGCTTATAAAGTGTTTACCAAGTATGGGACATGAAAAACTCCTCCATACAAAAGCTTCTTATCTGCGTGCCATATTATTACCGAGCGTTCCAATTTAAAAATACTTTGCCTCAGTTAAGCCCATTGTAACAAGTGTTTGTTTAATTGAGGTATTTTCTTCGGTAACCCACTCGATCACTCGAACGAACGGTCGCTTGTCATTAAAAATATCGAAATAATAAGCTGTCCAGCCCGGCACGATTTATCGTCCCATGATATGATGAAGGAGGTATTGGAGTGTTCTCGGGACATAATCCTGGTTAATTCAAAAAGGTACATTCGGACGGTTTCGAAAGCCGAACAAAATATTACATCCATAAAAACTATAGTCGTTATTCCAAAAGCCCCAAGTGAATGAACACTTTGGTGGGTCGGATCGGGCCCGTGGGTCGTAATTTGCCCACCCCTGGTCTAAAGTCTAAACAAAAATTTATTCGGTCATTTACCAAGTTTAGTCATGACAAAGTAACAATTTTTGACCCATTTGACCTACTTGTCACATCGGACGTTTCGTACCAACACTGACTGCTTTGATGCATACATTACGTAAAATCATGTAAACAGCTTACCAACGTAATTATAAATATGTTTCTCTCGTGGAATACATTCGTTAAGTAGGTCTAACTACGAAAAAGAGATGTAATCGGTAACAAATTTGTCATTGTGGTCTTGAAATTAAGTCGTGCAAAATAACATGTGCCTAAATATGTTACCTATACGACTCGAATGAATTACATCTGTCGCAAACACAAGGTATTTCTACTATATGTAATTACTTTAAGCTCAAGTTTTGCTGACAAAAATTAGTCAAAATATTGGGCAATCCTCGTACTTTGAACTACAATTTTCATATCCCAATAGGAAAGCTAATATGTACGAAACAACAGCAAACTATAAGCGGTGATTTTACGGACGGCCAAAACCAAGCGAATACTAAATTATTGCTCAACTTTATCACCTTCTAGTCCAGTGTTTCTCAAACTTTTTAACCCGCGCCCCCTTTTTAGAATTTGTCAAGTCTCGCACCTCACCTCAAAAATAACTAGCTAACAATAAGCTACAAACAACAGATGAGTAACAACAGTAAGACGAAAGTATGTTTTATTAAGAAAAAACGTTGAAAGCACATGGATGCAACGTAAATAATGAAATAAATATATATAAAGTTTTGAAATTTTCAAAATAAGGCGGGCAAGATCAAATCTAACAAATATTTTTATTTTCAATTAGTTTCTCGCCTCCTCAAAAAATTGTCTACGCCCCAACGTTTGAGAAACACTGTTCTAGTGATTAATGCACTTGAAAAGCTGATTTTATATTTGGATATATACTTATCCCATGCCAATTTAGTCTTGTAGTAATGGGTAACATCAGTGATTATGATATATATCGCATTATTTACTGTAAAAGTACGTACTACTTTTTGTCTGTAATCCATCTAAAAACAGATATTTTAACTTTTAAACAACAACTATCACGCCTAAATTAGTTATTTTAGTCAGACGATACCGCCGTAAGAAAAAATTTTTTTTAACGTTTGCACGGTGATGTGACTTTTATATGAACGCCGCTGAAGAGTTACAAACACAAGCTGGTAATATCTCTTTATTTTTCCATTTGAAGGCAAAAAGAAAAATACCCGCCGACCTTCTGTCGCCGCTGACATCGAAGGCGCTCTTTTCACTGATGGCTTAATGAATGCACCCGGTGTTAATCACAGAATGAAAAGACTTGACACTCGACGAAGAATACTTCCTGATTTTGAAGATGATATGGAGGATGGTGCAGAAAATTTAGACGAAGATAATGTTCAAATAGCTGCTGTCGAAGGAAGCCAGAGACGGAATGCTGATGAGTCCGCCTTGACCTCTACTATGAGAGTCCAAAATCGTGTTTCAGTCACTGACAAAGCGAAATGTTCTGAAGGCAATAATCATCACGCGTCACATCCTAACAGTGATGATGCCAAGTCAGAAGCAATGATATGGATGACGTCCGGCGTATGTTCCGTTATAAATCAAGATGCAGAACTGAAGCAAATTACACCTAAACATGACGAAATACGAGAACCTGAGCCAAAGGGTGTACGATCTCCACCCATTACCGGATTTAGCATGTCGTCGCAAATGCGAGCCCCGAACCAACGGACGGCTCATACGTCACCTGCAACAAGGTATTTAACATTATATAAGTTTTATACTGTGAGCAGGGCTGGACTTAGACCATGGAGGCCCCAGATCAGTCTTTTTTCCTTTCGTTCCACAAAAATTCTGTGGTCCATTAACTTTCTCATTCAAGGAAAAAAACAGTAACGGAAAACAGCATCATCATTCATTGCTACTGCAATCAAAATTGATTGATTTATCAATCAATAACTCCAGCAATTTTTAGTAGGTTCGTGGCCCACCTGAAAATGTTTCTGTTACCCAGCAGTGGGCCATGGCCCACTGGTTGAGTAACGGTGCCCTAGGCTAAGCCATTTGTGAGGCTCCTTTTCAACTATAGAATCGTGGCATCCATTATGTCGTCATAGAAAGTATAGGTGAAGTATGACATCATGAATAAATTTTAAATGGAGTGAAATACGAAATTCACCGCTAATAGATTGATGGTAAGTTAAATTTAAAAACCTCAAATCTGTAACAAAACATATTGGTACCAGCAGGGCCGGATTTAGACGGTGATATGCTATAGTGAGGCCCCCTTTCAACAAGAACGTCATAACTTATCCGTTTGTACGTCATAACATGCCCCGTAAAAGGTATTATGACTTCAATTTATAGATTGAAATGCAAAATTTAAGTTTTAGGCAAGATAGAACCCTAATCATTCCAGTGAAGCGGTGTTCCAATTATTGGGTGAATTTGACAGTACTGAAAAATATTTTAAAATTTCAAACTTTTTTAACCGAATTCATTTTTCAATGTATATAGTATATTATTTCATTTTCTAACCTGTCAAATGGTAAATATTTGAAACAAAGATTATCAATCAGATTAAAATATTTCAAAGATTTTACAATTCAAAAACGACTTGAAATAAAATCAGCATAGCAGGCGATGAATAATTGATAAAAACAAATAAACAAAAACTAATTAAAGAATCACGATAGTTATAAATTGGATGTCGGGGCCTGGTAAATCTGACCCTGACTGTGGGCGAGTCTTCACTTTATTTGTTATTCAAATATATTTTTGCCAATGCAATACTTGCAATATTACTCTCTAATATAAGTGCATAGGCAAGGAGTGAATATCACCTGCCTCCGAGCTTCGTTTATAGTCTAAACAGGCTACCAACAGCAAAATACCGCGGTAGGAAATATATATAATTTGTAACCAGCAGGGTAGACGCGAAGTCGTCATTGAGCTTAGAATTTGAGGATATTCGAAATTGAATGTTGTCATTGCTGGTGACTTCATTTGTTTAATAAACTAATTTATATAGTTTGTTTCAGTCTTTATACTGCATTTGAGGATAGAGCATATTTACAATTTATCTTATCACCGCAATATTTCCATTTACAGACCTGATCAAAAACGAGGTTCCAGAAAGTCAAATGAAACTTTGAAATCTGTGAGATTCTCTCGGCATCGAGGATCGTTGGATGGCATAGAAAATCTTTTAACCAATTTTGCGGAGGACGAAAAATCAGCCAATAAAATCCAAGATAAACAGGGACAGTCGCGTCTCTCTGTGGTCAAGTCTAAATTAGAATCAAATGAAAAAGAATTTCTCTTAAAACTTAGAATTCAGAATCAAAAGTTGGAGAATGAAGACGTTGCAAGAAAAGTGTGGGATTTTATTGGCAAGAGGCCAATAAGCATGTCCGGGGAAAGAGTTTCCAACGATAATACACAACTGTCAGATGACGACACTTTATCAGACGGCGAAGAGGAGCGAAATCTTTCAAAATATTTGGCGGCAGCAAGCGTCACTTCGCGTAGACGTGGGAAAGTAGGGTGAAGGATAGCTGTTTTACGTATTTGTTGCACAGATATATTTCGTCAGGAAATTGAATCCACAAGGTCAACGACTGAAATAAATTTCAGTAAAATGCACAGATGAAATATATATAATAAATATAACACATGTGGATAAACTGTACAATAACAATATCCCGCGATGGCTGTATTGTCTGACAGGCCTTGTGCTCAAAATTTGGGGATATGTAGCCAACACAAGTGACCCTCAGCTTACTTGAGCCACATATATATATATATGCATATATATCATATTTTCTTTATAATGTATTTTAGTTTTCGATGCTTTAAATGTTATGAAAATAAATTAAGCCCAGAGCGTAATTGCAATGGTAAAATAATATTTACACGATCGTTATACCCATGGATATTTGAACTTATCGGTATGTACATTTGCATTCGAGGTTATTTCAAAATATCTACTATAGGCTATGGAAGCGGTTCCCAAAGGGAGTGCCACGGCGATTTGATAGGTGCGTCCCGAAAGTTAACAGAATTGCGTTAATTAAATAACTAATATATGATTGAATATTTACATATTGTATTTATTATAAATGTTTTATTGTTTCTTATTTTAAATGCTGTGTATATGAATCAATAAATTCATTTCATCTTTCCATGTCTTTCACTTTCTGTTACGTAGTGTCGGTCTTCCGTGTTACGTAACAATAGAGAGTTAGACATTACTTGCTGCACTTTCATGAGCTGCAGTTTGTTCATCTTCTGAACCGAGTTTAGCGAACACGAGCGTTTTTTTTTGATATTTTGAAGGAAAATCAGGTAGAGGAGTGTTGACATTGATTTTATTCTCTAGGCCAGGCCTGCCCAACCTTTTTCATCTCGCGGCCACTTTCACATAAGAAAATTCGTTGCGGGCCGCAAACGTTTGTACCAAACTTTAATACCAACCAAGTCCTGATTTCGTTAGAATTTATATAATACATAAAAGGCAAATATATTAACATAAAATCAATCACGTTAATAATTATGTACTGCATGGTTACTCATCAGTGCTGGGCTGCTGGCGAAATATTCGTCGAATATCTGGTAACCCAAGGCGTGGACATTGACACTCGCGGGCCGCTGAATCAAAAAAATCAATCATTACACAACGCAATTGTGAATTTATGACAACCACACGAGAATCTGCACAGAGTTACTAACAAACAAAGACGTAAAAATTGAGTCTTATATTTGAGTCATGGAGTTTAATTATTTATTTATTTTCAGTGGCTTTGATATTGTCTCAATGAGCGTAATGTGCGCCAATGTCGCGGGAGCATCAAGTTTTGGTGGGCCGTTTCGTGAAATTTGAAACATCAATACAAGTATTCAGTGAAAAAAAACATTACAATAACTTTTGGACGAATATACCGTATCTACTAATTTGAATATGTAGAATTGTCATTAAGTCAATTTTATCAGAATTGTTGACGGATACGCAGGGATAATATTTCCGGCATTTTGTTTAACGCAAACATATCATAAACAAAAATACAAACATAAAAAAAAAACGAGTCCCGGAGCCAGAAGCAAAGAATATTGTTGACTATTTATTTTACGTTGGCGATAAAAACGATCAAAGCCTACACGAGAAAAGCAATCAGAATGAAACGAATTTGAAAATTTAGGTTCCAAATTCATTCCCACAATTGCGCTCAGCGTTCGTCGCCTATGATCACACAACATCTTTCGAGATCGTCGAACAGAACGCACAGTTCTGCGAAAAAAAAACGAACGTCGATGTCCACCAGGACGCAAGACTTGATACATAATAATAGGAAACGGCATCTGGATGTAGATAGAAGGCGGGAATAATCACACCAAAACCACGAAACATACTTAAGCCTATTTGTAACATAGTAAAAAAATGGAAAGTCTGCTTAAAAATATTTATTGGTCGGGCCGCGAAAAACAGTCAGGCGGGCCGCGGGTTGGGCACCCTTGCTCTAGGCCTTCATGTTTTCAAACTTTGAAAAGCATAAAGTACACACTAACGATCACAAAATTGAGTTTTATTTGATGGCAGCAATTTTTTCGTGTAAGTGCGCCGTGAGTCTATTCCCTTATAATTGTCGCCTCGAACCGCTGGGCTATGGAACAAAAACACGGAAGTATATTTTATGGAACTTTGCTGCTACAAATATGCCGCTGGTCGGACGCATCTGGCCCGCGGGTACTACATAACACCACGTCAGTCAAAATAAATGTATTCCAAATCCATACATTGATCTCAGCAATATCTGCTTCATCGCTATTTCAGTGGAATGTTTCTGGCAATTTCAATCAGCCATAGTCATTGTTTCACCGGTCTTAATTCCTGCGCTGCCCAGATGAGGTACGAGACTTAACATCTCAGTTTAAAACCGATCAGCCATAAACAAAGTTTACGAATCGTTAAGTATGGAGTTCTTATCACTCAAGATATTCAGATTACCGAGCTTAAATAAACCCGACAACCTAATCCCTTGTATGAAATATAATACTTGCAGTCTCAGTTTGACAAAGAAATATCCCCAAAAATCGTATTTTTACTTCCGCCCAGTGAAATGCACAAATAGGTAGGCCCGGTATATAATTTAAAAGTGTTCACAATTCACATATTTTAAATTTAAATTTTTACAAAATGCGAAAGCAAAATATATATTTCATTTCTCAAGTATAGTCCAGGCATGAATGTAATAAGAAAATCATTCACGTAAAATGAATACTTTTAATGATTGCCGATAAGAGCTGAAATAAATAGGCAACACAATCAAGGCATCTGTGGTGCATAGATATGGTCAGCTAACATCCTCATTTATTAAAAATCCTTTTCTTGGAGGCATTCCTTTCATCAACGCTTCTCTCCAATTCTTAGTGCAATAGTAGGACAACAAGATGTCAAATACTAAATAAAAACGGGGCATTAGAAGGAATCCCCATCGCTGTTAATATAGATAATATTATAACATATACCGGTATATATGCATTAGGTTAAATAAGTATTTGAGTATAGATATTCTTTTTTGAGTGACAAGTACATTTAGAGCAACTAAATATTAGTATATAAATAAAAAAAACATTTGTGTTTTGTTCAAAAAAAAACATACATTTGGTTTAAGAAACATACTAAAAATGACTTTTCACAGAAATAATATGGACTTAATATAAAGTGTCCTACTCATAAACAATGGTTTGGAATCTATTGTCAGAAACGATATACATTACGAAACGAGCTGGAAAAGTAAAAACACAAACCCCCTTGTGTGTATCAATATGAAGGTAACTAATTGTGCTCGCCTACTTTACATCAATTTGTGCAAATGGACTGAAACCTATGACCAGGGGGATTTTCACTTGGCTAACACAGACAGTCCCCAAACTCGTAATAGAACTAAAATGAGGAAAATCGGAATAAAATTATGGCCTAACTAACCCTAACCTGGTACACATACTACGAATCTACGATAGTACCATATAGATTTTGATCAGTAACGAACACACCATTGAAGCAAGCAAATAAATATCTTAGCGTCAGAAATGCAAACATTTCTTTTTCCCATACCTTGATTAATAGCAAGCACAGTTGAATAACTGTGATGGTGACCAGATCGGTGCATATATGTATGTATGGGAAGACGTCGACAAGATATTCTTATTTCAGAAGCTCGATCATTGGTCAGTTGTTTGCGGACAGTTTCATCAACTAATCCACCGAGTATATAAATATGAGATGCATCGACAGCGTCTAATTCTGTAATTTTAAACATTTGGAGAATGAAAAAAATTATAATTTATGAACTATTGTTTGATCAAGTGATGTTACAACTTCGCAAACTGTACCCCACTTGGAAGAAGATCAAACATTGAAAAAGTGTTTGAACGAAGACCGCATTCTTGGCAACGACATCACATAATTTATTGAACTTTTATTCTATGATATAAAGGGAGCATTGGTTTTCAACCAGGGTGCCGTTCAGGGTTCCGGCAGCGCAGTCCAGGGGTTGCGCAAGGTTACACTTGAATACGAGAGTCTATATTATTATTCTATGTATATTGAACAAATATACTCTAATACACGGTTCTAATGAACAAATAGTAACTGTTTCGTGTTCCGTGACATATTTTATAATGACAATTACAATCAATTTCACAGGGGTTTCCAGAGCCTAAAGAAATTTTCTATCGTTCCACCATAAAGGTTGAAAACTACTGATATAGAGTTTCATAGTGTTTTGCATTGAAATACAGCAATGTACTTCATTGTTCATCAACATTGCTGGAACAGGGCTTCTGTGTACTTAAAGAGTTTGGTATGTTTTCAATAACATCGAAAACTCTTTGCAGTCAAAATTCTGAATTTCCCAGAAATGTCAGTCGGAATTACAAACTTTTAATGGTGTTGATCGAAATCAAAATTTCTGACAATACCTCAGAATTGGGTCAACAAGGCATTTCCAAAAAGACAATTAAAGAACACCTGAAATCTTGAGTAAGAAATATTTTTCAATTCGAGGAGGTGCCAAAAGTACTTAAGCAGTGATCTACTAAATCAGAATCTTCATTCATAACATCTTACCTATCTTTGCATCCGGTGATAAATAGATAAGATTTTCTTTATCAAACAAAGATAAAAAACTATTTTCTGTCACAGTTATTTTATAATTCTCAAATCCATTGTGTTTTCGAGTACATTCCTGATACAGGTGGGAATCCGAAGAAAAACCTGGAAATTCAAACAAAAATATTGTTTTTTCTTATAACGGAAACATTTTCAGCTAAAAAGAAATATTAATTGCATTTAACTCATATAAATGCACAAATACTTTGAAAGACATTTGATTTCAAATTTTTCTTAAATTCCGTTCTCTTGAAATCAAAATTATGAAGACAGATTTATTTGCAATTGACTGCAATACATGAAAACCTTTATTTCCACAATGCTTTGGATACTAGACTTTGAAATTAGCATGATTACAACATGGATATTATGCAAAGGGATGAAGTTACTACATGTGAATATTTACAGCAGATGTCAACAATTCAAATGTTTGTATGAACAGCCATTCAAAATTACAGCAAACACAAATATTCCTTAGCATTTTCAACAGGGTTATGGAGTCAGGGTTTAAATATTGCATGTTTTTATTGTTGTTGGAATCTGGGCCATAGTCACATTTCAAACTCCCAGGAAATGAGAGTTGAAATTTGAATTCTAATAGTCGAGAGACTGAATTTAAGACCTAATGCTGATAATTACCATGGTTACAATCAACGTAAAAAATTTTGAAAGAAACTCAAAAAACATCAAGTTGAATATGTATTCTCAATTAAAAAAAGAATGAGCACGTCAAAGTTCAGCTTATCAAAATTTTGTTGCCACGGAGTTGGGAGTGCAGTTTTTAAATCGAGCCGCAGTCCAAATACGGGATAACACTGATTTTTAAAAACAACGTTCAGTTTTCACAGTTACAGGCAACTTTAAACAAATTGCAATGATAAAAGTTGCAGCACTGTATTTTTAGGGGACAGAATTTTAAAAAATGCACAGTTGAAATGGAGAAAATGAAACAAACCAGTAAAATACAAAGAAGCAGGAGAAGATGCTTTTCTGTTAGATCCATATAACCTTCCTATTTGACCTGCTAACTTTGATACCTCCTGTACAGATATGATATAATTTACAAATAGTAAATAAGTGACAGAGAATTTGGATTATCAGAGGAAAAAAAATTCATAAATCTTAAGCATTGAATATTTATATAAATTACCCAAATTGAATTTGCTTTTTCAAAGAAAGAGTTAGGAAGCATATTATTATATTTTTCTTCCATTTACAAGATATTTGGATTACATTGAAACTGAAATTTGTTCTTCAAAAAATCATGAAGAATCCGCATAGATTAACATACCCAGAAAGCACAGTTGGTGGTCCACGAAGTTCACAAATTTTGATACCATAATGAAAAAATAAACAATAATCGAAAAAGTTTTTGAATTATAAAAATGTGATGAAACAACTATTAAAACTACCTTGTTATTCATACTATTAGTCCACGACAGATCAACACAAACTTTAAGAGAATCAATACATTGCATAGCTTCTTTTAATCGACAGTTTATTAATGATTTAGCAAGTTTACTTGTAGAATGTGTTCTTGGTGATGGACATGATTCCAGGGTTAAGTCATTGAGCTGTAAAAATTAAACAATAGTTCATGACTGAACAAAAAAGTCAGTATCATGGAGTAGGTGACATAGGTAGCTGGATTTTTCCGTCTATCCCTAACCCATTCAAGTACCTTTGACTGCACAGCTTGCTTTATGCTTCACCTTATAATTCGCTGCATCTTCAATACATATATGCCGTAATGCAGGTCTATAGATCAATGAGTAATTGTTTTTCAAAACGTTAAAAAGTTGGCGTTATTGTTAAAAATCAAACCTTTTCTACTGCTCTTTTTTCCTTTCTGCGTTCCCTTTCAGATTTTCGTTTAAACTTTAATGTTTCAACTTTACGCTGATAACGTAAAAGACGTCTTTGCTGATTACGCTGTTAAAAGTTAATATAATCAAGAGAATAATTCAGCCATAGGTTTATTGTGCAATATTGCAATTTCAAATATTAATATCCTGAAAAGTAGAATGAAAGTGAAAATATGCAAAGTATCCCCCGAACAAGAGTGAAAATAACAAATATCTCTATCATAAAATTATATATTGAATATGGATACTTATAGCAAGGTTGCAAGCCTAAATTTGCAATGACTTCTAGATAGAGGAAAGGATAGGAATAGGACCACTGAAAGAGCAACGTGTGTATTCTGTTACGAGAATTTTCATTGGATACTGGTTCACACAGAGCTTCCATGTCAATATCTGGAGCGGAACTTCTTGGAAGCTGATATAAATAATTCCTGGCTTTGAGAATCGCTACAGTAAGCATAAATGGAGTTTTGTTCCCAATCTAGTATACAAAAGTATTACGATTGTCTTAGAAGAACTACATAAGCCAGAAACCATACTCACAGACAACTCTCTTTCAGTTTTATTTTCACTTTCATCTTGTTCTTCTTTATGCTTTCGAGTTCTAAAAATAACATACCGGTAGTTTTAAAACAGAGAAAAAATGTAAAAGCAAAAAGTGTTTGATCAAAGATCTGAGTTGTGCAATGGTATTTCACAGATTCTGCAGATTTTTTCAAATAATCTCACAGCAATAATTGACATAATGGCATTGTTGTGAGATTGAAACATTAACCGGTTAACCAGAAAAATATTGTATCAACTCTATCAGCCCCTGACATTGTGACCATGAATCCCCCAAGCAATAATAATAAGCAATGTATCAGGTAAGGATGATACATATATCTGACATAAACGTAATACCTACCTTACATAGGGTTGACAAACATAGTGAGGAAAACCATTTACAGTGATTGGACAAGCTTCATCATCCTCCTATTGAAAATTAAAGTTATAAAAAATTTGGAAATTAAGGTGAACGATATTGAACATTTTCAGTTTTTTCTTACGTGAACTTCTGAACAAATTGTGAATTAATACAAACCTGACAAGCTTGGTTGATCTCTTCATTTATATTTTCCATGTCATCAAGATTTTGTGCCCTACCGAGTGCTAATTGGAAGTCGGGATAGACCTGTAGAAAAAAAGTTTTAATGAAGTTGAAAATGTCACATATCAAGTCTGACATGACTGAAGCAGAATCATATACTATTCCAAATACATCCTAAATATTTTTTAATATCGAAAATTTCCAAAATTGGGTCATATTCAACGAAGGATGCACAGATCATTTAGTATTCATAGAAACTGAATTTCATAACAAAAATGGTTAAAATATCCATTATTCATTTCAATTGATTTCCTAATTTTGGTCAAAGTCAAATTAAGTCAAACTTTTGTCAAATAATCAGATATCAAATGTTATATATGACAAATGTTCAAATGAAAATATTTCTACCATCAAAAATTTACAATCACAAATATAGTCAAGTTTTATTCACAGTTTTTGAGTGAATGCAATAAGGAAGTCGATACAACTTTACAGACCAATTTGTTTGAGGCAGAATATAAAGGTATTCCACATAAGATAATACAGATATATAAATATTACTTTCAAAGTATGAACCCATAGCTTGAAAAGATGGGATCTCACAAAACTGATGGGACATTGATGGATCCGAACAAGGGCAAGATACTCTTTTGTCATCTTATACACACTAGGATTTTCTCCTGTAAACGAAAAGAAAAAATGAACATAAATGAATCTAGTTAGAGCATGAACATATGCTAAAATTTTAGTTCAAATAATGTTCAAAGTTTCACATCAACTCTTGTCTGATAGATGAATGAAAAACCTCGATAGCAATAAATATTACTTTAAATTTAAACCACGTTAACAGGAAATGTTAGAAATACGATATAACTGATTAAAATTTGCTTGCTGAACATTGAGAATAACATCTTTCAAAAGTCAATATTGAACTATATTCTTGGAATTAAATTGAACAACATAAAAACGCTGAACTTACCAATAAATATACAAGGATTGGATAAATGGGACTCCGCCACCATAACACCATCTACTCCTGTTTGTTCAATACATTGATGTATGTCTTCTAAATTTTGGATGTTTCCATTTGATATCACAGGAATTTGTAAATTTTTCCTGGAATATTTGAAAAAATAAATTGCAATTTAGAAAAGTATCTGGGGTATGAATGACATTTGTGAAAAAAATTTGTGTCATAATTCATCTTGATTGATTGTATAACCAATGAGAAATTGATAGGAAAACTACTTTTGTAGATCCATAGCTAAAGATAAAAACTTACTTCACTTCTTTCACTTGATTCCAATCGGCCAAACCAGTCATTATTCCTTTCTGCTCAATAGTTCTACCATGTACTGATAACATACTACATCCGGCAGATTCCAACATTTTTGCATAAGCTACAGTTTTCTCCACCTTCGGTATCAAAGAAATTTATGAGAATTCAAAATAGTTTAAAAAAATCGTATTTTACAAAACCGAAAGCTCGACACTTCTAATAAATTTTCTACACTTTAGAGATCATTTTGTTTTGTGATTATTAGATTTGCTCTTATATAGATTCATAGTCTGTACAATTTAGACAATTGAACTATTGTACAGGGGGTTCCTAAAGTCTTTGAAATCTTACATAGTGTTTGTTACTCCACCAAAAAGGTTGAAAACCACTGTTGTATGCTATCATGCCAAAAGTTAATAGTACAGGACAATGTTCAGAGTGAACTGCATGAATACCAGTCATATTAAATATATCTTACATACCGTACCACAGACACTTAAAGTAGATATTCTTTTTCTCAAACACAAGGCTAACAGATTAAAAGCAAACTAGCTTGAACTTTGACAATTTTTTAAATTAAATCATGCTTTGTCAATTTCCACTGACCTCTGGGAAGATTCTGATTTTTGCTGTAACCGGGATATCAAGCACATCGTTAGCAGCATAAATCATTTTGTGTAGCAACTCCCAACTGTCTTGTAAGAACGCACCAAAATGACCTGTTGTATATAAATAGAATATGCAATAATATTGAATCTAGAAAAAGGGATTGAGAAGGATTTAGCTGGTTTGGTTAAGGTGAAAAAATAGGATATATCTACTGTTTTAGCTATATCCCACACATTCAAAATCAATGACAGGTTGCTTTGACTGTGCAAAATTTTTGATAAGAAGGATTTTGCGATAAAAAGCAAACATATATTATAAAGATTAAATTATAGTGTCATTACATAACAATAAAATCGAGCTATATTAAGCTATTTTTGATACAAAAAATGCAAATAAAAATGTAAACGTGGACTATTTTTTTTTACAAAACATGTAGTTTTTTTCCGAAAACAAAAATGTCTTTGAGAATTACAGCCATTGAATCAGACAGTGAACTTCAACCTGATTTAACCCTGCTATTAAATCAATTTCTACTCACCGCGTCTTGCAATGTGTTGAGGACAACCAAGGTTGAGATCAATTGCATCACAGAAAGGTTGAACTATTTTTGCGGCTTTCAATAGCTGTTCTGGGGTATTTGCACAAAATTGGACTATCAATGGCCGGTCTTCTTCACAGGAAAGGTCCTTCAACACCTAAATACAGCAAACTTTAAAAGTTGATTGTTTATCATCGGCTAATAAAACAAATCAAATATGTCTCACCTTTTTGCGATATGTTAAGTCTTTTAATATTACATTTGCATTAAACATTGGTGTAAAACATAATTGTGCTCCATATTTTCTCGCTAAAATTCGCCATGCCAGCTCACTCTGGTCAACCATAGGAGCCAGAATATATTTCGATTCTCCAAGAACATGTTTTATAGATTTTGTTTTTTTGCTACTTGCTGAGCTGATGAGCATTCCACAAATAGTATAAAAAATACTTCAAGAAAGTTGAATAGTAATCGAGAAGTAAAAAACTGAAGAACTAAATTTTAAAAAAATCATAGAAGAATGTTATAAGCATGAAATGGAAATATTGAGAAAGACAGGTTCGATCGGAAAACACAATTAAGGTATTAGAAGTTTATTCATTATTTAATCCTCAAGAGATTAATGACAGCATGTAAACATTCTGATGTAACACCAACAAGACTGCATGACCCTGGAAATAAAGCATGGTTGTGCATAATAATCCTGTTCAAATAACAGGCCAATAATGTTATCAATTTTATTTCATCTCAGCCGTTGCAAGTGACTACTGGTGCCCTAAAAGCTGATATTTACATATAAGTTATATACTTCAGATAACTCAATAAATAGCAGACAACATAAGGCTTGGCATCCAAATAAATATTACCATTCACAGCACTATTTACCAATTCCAAATTAAACAGACTTTTGATATCTATTGGAACTCACCATGCACAAATTAAAATACCGGGTCAAAATTTAATTTGACTTACAGCAGCGCTCAAAAATTCCTACAGTCATTTGAGCTTAATATTAAAGATGTCAAAAGCAGCTTAGCCCAACAAAACAGCAAAATGCTGAAACACAATACCGCATTACTGATCTAACTTCGCAGTTCGATTATTTCAGTACACTATATTCTGATAAGGGTCAATGCAACAAGAAACAAGATCCAAAGTACTTTCAACTAATGCATGAGGTACAGGGTTGCAACTCTTCCAATCTGCCAGACAGTATAGTGATGACTGTAAATGCAAGGGTGTCACTCATGTTGAACAAAGGGATTGGGAATTGCTTCCATGCCATCCTGTGGACATATCAAAACAACATTTGTTCCTCGACATACAGTCAGTCCAAGCTGTCTTGTATCTTCTGTGAGTTTGTATGGATCATCTGGATCCCGAAGAAACTCTGTGGTACTGTCCAGTACAAGATTTAAAAGTGGGTCAAATCCTTTCAAAACTCCTGTTGCCTCTCGTCCGCCGTGAAATTTAACCCTTATAGGTCGATCCAAATATTTTGAAAGGTCTAAAATGCTCTCCTTTTTCTTCCTTTCTGCCATAGTGGTGTTTTATTTTCGAAATATTCAACTGAGCCAACGCGCCAAGCCAACAGAATACAGGAATAGGTGTCAGAACAACCAAACAACTGGAACACCAAGTCTCGAAACACGCGCTGAAAATGGCTGTGACGCTAGCACTAATTTCGGCCTGTGGTAAGTAAATTTTATGTTAAGTTTGCTCAAATCAATGTTCTTATATGTTGAGTTATGCGAACTTTTCACAGATCTACAGATAATTACTCAAGTGTACATTTGGTTCATTGGTCAATCAATATATGCAATATACCGTGAAAGCTACGTGAATTCTCGTTTGTACAAAGTGTTGCCCTGTCCTTTTGATCAGTGTTCTGTATGTATGTTAATTCGTCTCACAATAATAAGCAATATAAACACGTTGGGCATCAATTAAATCGATTTAAAAGTTATTGCCGATATTTTTATCGTGTGTTCAATTTTATGTTAGTTATGCTCGTCTTCCGGGAAATCTCTGTTTTTGTTTGTTTGTCCGTTTGTTGTTGCCTAATGTACTAGATCACAATGTAGCACTGGTATTATATATATTTTACACATGTCCTCTAAACTCTATCACAATGTGCTTTTAGTGTGTGATCGTGGAACTAAAATATCTGCCGACTCATTCTCCGTCTTTTTTATATTTATATTGTAACAATTAATTCCGACTTCTTAATCAATAACAGTGTTAAATTGGTCAGGAGCCTTGATGACCTTCAACGGTCTGGCATACTGGCCAACACAAAACAATGTGTAAATTGGACTACTTCTATAAAAATCATCGATATTGTTTTATACTGTTTTCATTATAGGCTAACTCTATATAAAGAAACCGATATTATTTATTATTGTTTTTTCATTGTTTGTGGAAATAAATCTCTCTCTCTCTCTCTGCCTCGTTTTATGCCAGAGCGACCAAAATAAAATTGATTGGTACTGCAGTAGTAGCCTACTGCCTACTACAGAGCAATGTGACTATAAACCTAGTGCCTAACGCGGGACTGTCCCGCCTAAAGCGGGACGTATGGTAAGCCTACCGATGTCACATATAGAAAAGGTAGACCGTCACAGTAATTAATATATTGCCATTTCTCACATCATAAAATTAATAGATGTAGCTTACTGATAATCGCCGTTATTTGAGTTATTTTAAAACAGACCTGGGGGCGATTCATATGGTCTCTGCGGGCGACTTGGTTCCCGCGGGCAACGGGCTGGTGAGCCCTGCTGTAAAGTAACCTTAACGCCACAAATTCTTCTGACTGGTGTTCTCTTCGATAGTTTTGAGGTTTTTTCTTCTTGAAATAATGCACGTTTGAAATAGAGATGTACCGATGTATCGATATCGGCCATTTTTTCGGTATCGGCCATGTATCGGTATCGGTTAGATTAAGGCCGATATTTCCGATACATTTATCTTTTTGATACGGTCCAGAATGTTTTAAAAGTTAAGTAAGAATACTAATTTTTATTTTTTGTCTGGAGAGATCGTGAGCTATGAGCCATACATGTCCCCACCCCCGTGAGGGAATAGGATTCACCTGTTTTTAGCTATTTATCAGCAAAACTAGCTAGACTAATTTGGCTATTTTCGCTGTCAAATTTTTATACTGACATTTTTTAATATTACATAGTAATTATGAAGAAATATATCAACACGGCACATAACAAAAAGCAACTAGGCGCCCAGTTTATTAAATCATATAGTGGAGTTGGAGTCCTTATTAACGGCACATGCACTTTGGGCACGGCTTTGAATTCTGACTGTTCGTCGTCAATTACGAGTGTCACTTAGTCCGTCGACGTCGATAAACTAAATTCCGACACAATTATCCCTCTACGCAGGTATTAATTTTAATTTTGTTTAACTACACAATTTCTTTATAGATATATTGACATGACCGCATAAAGCCCTAGACTAGTAGACTGTCTCAAAATATATGATAGCAATTGTAAAATATTATAAAAAAGTGAAGTGAAAAAACATCTTCGACGGTTATAGGTAGGCCCTCTTCTTGTCGGTGCCGATTGATATTCTTTAATGTTGGCTTTGATTTATTGCGGCGACGATTACGATTAACCACAAAATAAAATATTTGTAAAATGCTTTTAATTTGAACAAAAGACGGCAGCGCTACAATGTGTGGGCGATATTCGATATTCTTTCGAACACGAATAACGAGATTCGAAGGTCGTGATATTAACATTAAATTCGAATTGGACATCCCGCTTATGAGTTTTCTAATTGAACACCGAGATTACTAGCGTCACTAATCAAAAGCATCTGGATACCAAACATCAATTTCATATTATGTGATATCTCTTTTTCCGATCTGAAATAATGTGTACTATGAACAATGCTCAAAGACCATTGTTTTAACCCGTCTGCCCTACACAGCACACCTAATTGAGTAATAATTACATAGTATCGGAATATCGGCCTTTTTGTAGTATCGGTATCGGCGTTTTTAACTGGTATCGATATCGGTATCGGCGACAAAAGTGGTACCGGTACATCTCGAATGTGTACCAGGTTAGGGTTCAGGTTATGCGACATCTTGGTGCACATACTTCAGGAGCACCGTTAATTGTACCATGTACAATTATTACTCTATTTCATTGGAGGTATGTAAAATCCGTCATTTTCCCATTCATTTAATAAAAATCAAAAAATGACTGAGTGGAGTATAAATCGCCATCATGGGGTTTCGATTTTATATTTTCAATTTATATAACATATGTGAAGCAAGTTAGGCTTCGAGCTTTCAAAAGGTTCTACGTCGTTCAATTGCTAAATGCTTCTCTAATGTAACGTTAAAGTCCAGTTTTCTGCAGAGCAATTTATATATATAACATTACTTGATGGTTTAGTGAAAATTGTAGTTATGAAAGCTCGACTTGCGCATTTTTACATGAGTTTTCTCAAGTTTTTAACTGAAGCTATAGTGAGATCGATTGCTTTTTCCGACCTGTTTCCGCTTACTTGTGGTGAGGATTGCAGGAAATCATTCTGAGATATTGCTCAACGAGAAACGATATGAATAAAGTATGTTACAGCTAAGTAACCAGCAGTTTAGTCTGAAAGAATTATTAATCGGCAAATTTTGTGACTTAGTTTGCACCAGAATCGCGTCACTTACGAGTTTGCGATGTTTTCATCTCTGTTGACTTTTAAGTTAGTGATACACATAAACAGTCATATACACTTCGAAGGAGTATAATATATGTCAACAAATTATTGTTTAAGTACTAGTTGTGATGTGATTGCGAAATGTGATTTCCGATTGAATAACTAGGCTACTTATCCCTAGCACATGGTGCGTTTGTTGTTAGTTTGGTGGCTGTTATATTTATCGAACATGTTTTAAACGTCTTTTTCCATGAATGTTGTCTGTGAAGACTGGAGTTGCACCAGTAATCCGCAAAATATATGTGGATAAGCTATTCACGAGTAAATACAAATAGGTCATTTACAATAAATTCTTTGTAAAAAAAAATTATTTTAAATAAATAGGCTTTAGTAAAAAAGAACTCGACTTAACAAGCAAATTGTACTCGAACTATTTTTAGACTGTATTTTGAAGGCAATACGTCTCATTATACTGTGAAAGAGCATTCTTGAAAAGGGGCTATAAATGTACTGGCTAAAGAAAAACAAATTAAATTATTTTATACGAGCAGTGAATACAACACTTTTCAAAATATGCAAGAAACATATTCATATTTGAATTCACGTACCTGCAGACCAACAAAATTGAAAAGTGCGCCATTGCTCAGATTATATTTCATACCTAAAGACGTTGATAAATGCTTGGCTGCGTTATGTGAGTTATGGTTTTCATACAGACACTATATTAATGAAAGGTTTACCTACAAAATACTTTTACGCTTGAAATATTAGCAAAAGAATTTCTCGTATCAAAATCAACAACCAAGTTCATTTTTCAGTCTGTTCGCGAGGTTGTACAAAAGCTATAAAGAGACAGAAGACAATAACTACAATATGATTATGTTATGTTCATTATGCTGCTTTCATTTTATTGTAGAAATAATCATTCTAAATATTTGTGACTGCGGTTGTCTGTTTTACAAGAGCTAACGAACTACTTACGAAATGGGCAAACGGTTAAATGGCAAAGATGGAAGCGCCGAAAAAAGAGTTATCACCTGGAAAAAACACTTCGACTACCTATTTAGTTTACTGGGACTCATGATTTTGTAAATGTATGGAGATTTCCGTATCTGTGCTACAAAAATGGCGGAGGTGAGAATTGCACTGCAGAGTTGACTTACTTATAATAATATTGGCCGGGCAATGTTGTCATCTTGTATTTAGTGAATTTATGAAGTTGAGGCACTGGTCGGTCTAGCCTCCATCTCAGTGTATGTGGATGACACCTTTTCGCGATCGTTTGATATGAACATTGCCCACACAGATAAATATGATTTAGGTCTTAGTTTCTGTCCTGTTGACTTTCAGGTGATGGATATTATTTTCTGCCCTGATAACTTCCGGATTGCTATTTGAAGTAGAGTGGTTATGATTCTGACGTGAAAACAAATATTTCTTGACCAATATTGACTACAGTTATTGGACACGTAGTGGACATAACGATCGTTTCAATATTATGTTGTTGTTGTTGTTGTTCTTTGACACGTTTTTAAAAAGTCGCTTTTC